GAATTTTCATATTTCATATTATTGCTGTTGCTGAAAGGTATCAAAGCTTTCAGAAAATCACATTAAAACTGAAATATATGTGAAACAATCGGGGTAACACCCAGAGATACATTGCAGCAGTCACAGAAGACAGTAAAGTCAAATACACAGATGAGACCGCCCCACGAGAAGCACTCATGTATGTATTGTAAATCAAGTTGCTCCTATTTGAAGTAATCGAATTGTGGTTTCTTTTGAAAGTATTGGATGTTGTCCAAACTGTTTAACGTTTAATACATTGTAAACAAATATATGGTATCTTTAGTTGCTTGAATCACCCAAAAATCACCCCAACAAATAGTACTTACCATTCAGGAAGGTCAGAGCCATTGATAGGATATCAACTGTGACAATAAGACAGAGAGGTGGTCTTCTTCTTTGCATCTTCTCCTGCCATGTTTACCACAACAAATATAATCTCTGCATGCCTGCTATCCTAGAAGTTGTCCAGTGAGAGTTTACCAGTGACCACCTTTTCATTCTTTTTCATTTGTTGAGGGTCACTAAGACCAATCATAATGTAGTCCCTCTTTGCATGATAAGATTTTTAAATAGATCACCTGAAAGTTCCCTGCATATTTTAGATGCTTACAAACAGTTTGAAGCTTCTGTTTGCCACACTGTGGCTAATAACTGTTCATTGCTGCCAATTCTAGGCTTCAAATGATAGCACAGGCTTGATTTCATTGATAGGATATCAACTGTGACAATAAGACAGAGAGGTGGTCTTCTTCTTTGCATCTTCTCCTGCCATGTTTACCACAACAAATATAATCTCTGCATGCCTGCTATCCTAGAAGTTGTCCACTGAGAGTTTACCAGTGACCACTTTTTCATTCTGAGGGGCCTGAGTCAAGTGATGTTCATTTCAATGCTTGGAGTCTGATCATAACTTGAGATGATTCACAGTCCAACCCACAGAAGCCAATGTGACAATAGAAGTGATGATGGCAGATCACTCCATGTGAATGAACCAGGTGATTCACACGTTGACAGGCAGTTATCAGTCTAGATTGAGAGTAGGTACACAGCCAAATGATGCTCTCACTGATGTATTAAAAGGTATTGCTCTAAGAGATTTCAACACATGTTTCACTAAAGATATGTGCAAGAATTTTAATAAATATGTGTAAAGAGAAACACTTTAGTTAGAACCTCAACTACAATGAATGTGATTATAGTTTCACACTCCACATTCGTGGTGTCCAAATTCACTGAAAGTTGCCCCAGCTTGTTAGCACTTACTTGAAAACTGCAGTAAATGTGCTACAATTAGGGTGCACTTTCAGCGGGAAAACTTGCAGGACTCACACAAAGTAAGTAATATCAAATACACAGATGAGACTGCCCCAAAGAGTAATAGTTATTGATGAAATCAGTGCTTCTATTTCAAGTAATCTAATTGTGCTTTATTGGCTATACCCGAGCATGGTCGACGACGGTCTAAGGCTGCGTTCAGGTAGCAGTCTCCCTGGAGGCTTGGGATCAAAACCCACTTCTGCCATTTGGTTCCTTTGCTGCACCTCTGTTGAGGCGATGTTGGTCTGTTTCTGAGAGCTTGTTAAAAGAAATGCATAGCTTTTTGGCAAATTTGCATAACTTTGAGACAGCTAGTCAGGATGGCCGAGCGGTCTAAGGCGCGTGTTAAGGTCGCAGTCTCATCTGGAGGCGTGGGTTCAAATCCCACTTCTGACATGCACTTTGTTGAGGGTCACTAAGACCAATCATAATGTAGTCCCTCTTTGCATGATAAGATATTTAAATAGATCACCTGAAAGTTCCCTGCATATTTTAGATGCTTACAAACAGTTTGAAGCTTCTGTTTGCCACACTGTGGTTAATAACTGTTCATTGCTGCCAATTCTAGGCTTCAAATGATAGCACAGGCTTGATTTCATGGCACTGCGTAGAGCGGTTGCCAAGGGAACCAACTCCGCTGCTTTGTTGTGGTGTTGCCGAAATACCGGAGCAGGGTCCCTAAGTGAAGCCTATACATTTCTGAAACAAAGTGCATGGAAATACGTTCAGACTTTTTATGTAGTTGTGGCCAAGTGGTTAAGCGATGGACTTGAAATCCATTGGGGTACAGGGAATAGCAATGGTGACAATCTTCCTCAATGAAACTTCATGTGCATTAATTGCTGTTCACAGTTGTTACATACCTGCATGAGAATTGAACAAATGGAATGCTTTTCATTCTGAGTAACCGGAATTTTCATATTATTTTGCTGTTGCTGAAAGGTATCAAAGCTTTCAGAAAATCACATTAAAACTGAAATATATGTGAAACAATCGGGGTAACACCCAGAGATACATTGCAGCAGTCACAGAAGACAGTAAAGTCAAATACACAGAGGAGACCGCCCCAACGAGAAGCACTCATGTATGTATTGTAAATCAAGTTGCTCCTATTTGAAGTAATCGAATTGTGGTTTCTTTTTGAAAGTATTGGATGTTGTCCAAACTGTTTAACGTTTAATACATTGTAAACAAATATATGGTATCTTTAGTTGCTTGAATCACCCAAAAATCACCCCAACAAATAGTACTTACACATTCAGGAAGGTCAGAGCCATTGATAGGATATCGACTGTGACAATAAGACAGAGAGGTGGTCTTCTTCTTTGCATCTTCTCCTGCCATGTTTACCACAACAAATATAATCTCTGCATGCCGCTATCCTCCTAGAAGTTGTCCACTGAGAGTTTACCAGTGACCACCTTTTCATTCTTTTTCATTTGTTGAGGGTCACTAAGACCAATCATAATGTAGTCCCTCTTTGCATGATAAGATATTTAAATAGATCACCTGAAAGTTCCTGCATATTTTAGATGCTTACAAACAGTTTGAAGCTTCTGTTTGCCACACTGTGGCTAATAACTGTTCATTGCTGCCAATTCTAGGCTTCAAATGATAGCACAGGCTTGATTTCATTTATAGGATATCAACTGTGACAATAAGACAGAGAGGTGGTCTTCTTCTTTGCATCTTCTCCTGCCATGTTTACCACAACAAATATAATCTCTGCATGCCTGCTATCCTAGAAGTTGTCCAGTGAGAGTTTACCAGTGACCACCTTTTCATTCTTTTTCATTTGTTGAGGGTCACTAAGACCAATCATAATGTAGTCCCTCTTTGCATGATAAGATATTTAAATAGATCACCTGAAAGTTCCCTGCATATTTTAGATGCTTACAAACAGTTTGAAGCTTCTGTTTGCCACACTGTGGCTAATAACTGTTCATTGCTGCCAATTCTAGGCTTCAAATGATAGCACAGGCTTGATTTCATGGCACTGTGTGTAGACGGTTGCCAACGGAACCAACTCCGCTGCTTTGTTGTGGTGTTGCCGAAATACCCGAGCAGTGTCCCTAAGTGAAGCCCATACATTTCTGAAACAAAGTGCATGGAAATACGTTCAGACTTTTTACGTAGTTGTGGCCGAGTGGTTAAGGCGATGGACTTGAAATCCATTGGGGTCTCCCCGCGCAGGTTCAAATCCTGCCAACTACGTCTGAAGTTTGGTTTGCCATTCAGGCGCAGTACAGGGAATAGCAATGGTGACAATCTTCCTCAATGAAACTTCATGTGCATTAATTGCTGTTCACAGTTGTTACATACCTGCATGAGAATTGAACAAATGGAATGCTTTTCATTCTGAGTAACCGGAATTTTCATATTATTGCTGTTGCTGAAAGGTATCAAAGCTTTCAGAAAATCACATTAAAACTGAAATATATGTGAAACAATCGGGGTAACACCCAGAGATACATTGCAGCAGTCACAGAAGACAGTAAAGTCAAATACACAGATGAGACTGCCCCAACGAGAAGCACTCATGTATGTATTGTAAATCAAGTTGCTCCTATTTGAAGTAATGGAATTGTGGTTTCTTTTGAACGTATTGGATGTTGTCCAAACTGTTTAACGTTTAATACATTGTAAACAAATATATGGTATCTTTAGTTGCTTGAATCACCCAAAAATCACCCCAACAAATAGTACTTACCATTCAGGAAGGTCAGAGCCATTGATAGGATATCAACTGTGACAATAAGACAGAGAGGTGGTCTTCTTCTTTGCATCTTCTCCTGCCATGTTTACCACAACAAATATAATCTCTGCATGCCTGCTATCCTAGAAGTTGTCCACTGAGAGTTTACCAGTGACCACTTTTTCATTCTGAGGGGCCTGAGTCAAGTGATGTTCATTTCAATGCTTGGAGTCTGATCATAACTTGAGATGATTCACAGTCCAACCCACAGAAGCCAATGTGACAATAGAAGTGATGATGGCAGATCACTCCATGTGAATGAACCAGGTGATTCACACGTTGACAGGCAGTTATCAGTCTAGATTGAGAGTAGGTACACAGCCAAATGATGCTCTCACTGATGTATTAAAAGGTATTGCTCTAAGAGATTTCAACACATGTTTCACTAAAGATATGTGCAAGAATTTTTAATAAATATGTGTAAAGAGAAACACTTTAGTTAGAACCTCAACTACAATGAATGTGATTATAGTTTCACACTCCACATTCGGTGTGTCCAAATTCACTGAAAGTTGCCCCAGCTTGTTAGCACTTACTTGAAAACTGCAGTAAATGTGCTACAATTAGGGTGACTTTCAGCGGAGAAACAGTGCAGGACTCACACAAAGTAAGTAATATCAAATACACAGATGAGACTGCCCCAAAGAGTAATAGTTATTGATGAAATCAGTGCTTCTATTTCAAGTAATCTAATTGTGCTTTATTGGCTATACCCGAGCATGGTCGACGACCGGTCTAAGGCGCGCGTTCAGGTAGCAGTCTCCCCTGGAGGCTTGGGATCAAAACCCACTTCTGCCATTTGGTTCCTTTGCTGCACCTCTGTTGAGGCGATGTTGGTCTGTTTCTGAGAGCTTGTTAAAAGAAATGCATAGCTTTTTGGCAAATTTGCATAACTTTGAGACAGCTAGTCAGGATGGCCGAGCGGTCTAAGGCGCTGTGTTAAGGTACGTCTCATCTGGAGGCGTGGGTTCAAATCCCACTTCTGACATGCACTTTGTTGAGGGTCACTAAGACCAATCATAATGTAGTCCCTCTTTGCATGATAAGATATTTAAATAGATCACCTGAAAGTTCCCTGCATATTTTAGATGCTTACAAACAGTTTGAAGCTTCTGTTTGCCACACTGTGGTTAATAACTGTTCATTGCTGCCAATTCTAGGCTTCAAATGATAGCACAGGCTTGATTTCATGGCACTGTGCGTAGACGGTTACGCAAGGGAACCAACTCCGCTGCTTTGTTGTGGTGTTGCCGAAATACCGGAGCAGGGTCCCTAAGTGAAGCCTATACATTTCTGAAACAAAGTGCATGGAAATACGTTCAGACTTTTTATGTAGTTGTGGCCGAGTGGTTAAGGCGATGGACTTGAAATCCATTGGGGTACAGGGAATAGCAATGGTGACAATCTTCCTCAATGAAACTTCATGTGCATTAATTGCTGTTCACAGTTGTTACATACCTGCATGAGAATTGAACAAATGGAATGCTTTTCATTCTGAGTAACCGGAATTTTCATATTATTGCTGTTGCTGAAAGGTATCAAAGCTTTCAGAAAATCACATTAAAACTGAAATATATGTGAAACAATCGGGGTAACACCCAGAGATACATTGCAGCAGTCACAGAAGACAGTAAAGTCAAATACACAGAGGAGACCGCCCCAACGAGAAGCACTCATGTATGTATTGTAAATCAAGTTGCTCCTATTTGAAGTAATCGAATTGTGGTTTCTTTTGAAAGTATTGGATGTTGTCCAAACTGTTTAACGTTTAATACATTGTAAACAAATATATGGTATCTTTAGTTGCTTGAATCACCCAAAAATCACCCCAACAAATAGTACTTACCATTCAGGAAGGTCAGAGCCATTGATAGGATATCGACTGTGACAATAAGACAGAGAGGTGGTCTTCTTCTTTGCATCTTCTCCTGCCATGTTTACCACAACAAATATAATCTCTGCATGCCTGCTATCCTAGAAGTTGTCCACTGAGAGTTTACCAGTGACCACCTTTTCATTCTTTTTCATTTGTTGAGGGTCACTAAGACCAATCATAATGTAGTCCCTCTTTGCATGATAAGATATTTAAATAGATCACCTGAAAGTTCCCTGCATATTTTAGATGCTTACAAACAGTTTGAAGCTTCTGTTTGGCACACTGTGGCTAATAACTGTTCATTGCTGCCAATTCTAGGCTTCAAATGATAGCACAGGCTTGATTTCATTTATAGGATATCAACTGTGACAATAAGACAGAGAGGTGGTCTTCTTCTTTGCATCTTCTCCTGCCATGTTTACCACAACAAATATAATCTCTGCATGCCTGCTATCCTAGAAGTTGTCCACTGAGAGTTTACCAGTGACCACCTTTTCATTCTTTTTCATTTGTTGAGGGTCACTAAGACCAATCATAATGTAGTCCCTCTTTGCATGATAAGATATTTAAATAGATCACCTGAAAGTTCCCTGCATATTTTAGATGCTTACAAACAGTTTGAAGCTTCTGTTTGCCACACTGTGGCTAATAACTGTTCATTGCTGCCAATTCTAGGCTTCAAATGATAGCACAGGCTTGATTTCATGGCACTGTGTGTAGACGGTTGCCAAGGGAACCAACTCCGCTGCTTTGTTATGGTGTTGCCGAAATACCCGAGCAGTGTCCCTAAGTGAAGCCTATACATTTCTGAAACAAAGTGCATGGAAATACGTTCAGCCTTTTTATGTAGTTGTGGCCGAGTGGTTAAGGCGATGGACTTGAAATCCATTGGGGTCTCCCCGCGCAGGTTCAAATCCTGCCAACTACGTCTGAAGGTTGGTTTGCCATTCAGGCAGGCCAGTACAGGGAATAGCAATGGTGACAATCTTCCTCAATGAAACTTCATGTGCATTAATTGCTGTTCACAGTTGTTACATAGCTGCATGAGAATTTGCCAATTGAACAAATGGAATGCTTTTCATTCTGAGTAACCTGAATTTTCATATTTCATATTATTGCTGTTGCTGAAAGGTATCAAAGCTTTCAGAAAATCACATTAAAACTGAAATATATGTGAAACAATCGGGGTAACACCCAGAGATACATTGCAGCAGTCACAGAAGACAGTAAAGTCAAATACACAGATGAGACCGCCCCCACCGAGAAGCACTCATGTATGTATTGTAAACCAGTTGCTCCTATTTGAAGTAATCGAATTGTGGTTTCTTTTGAAAGTATTGGATGTTGTCCAAACTGTTTAACGTTTAATACATTGTAAACAAATATATGGTATCTTTAGTTGCTTGAATCACCCAAAAATCACCCCAACAAATAGTACTTACCATTCAGGAAGGTCAGAGCAATTGATAGGATATCAACTGTGACAATAAGACAGAGAGGTGGTCTTCTTCTTTGCATCTTCTCCTGCCATGTTTACCACAACAAATATAATCTCTGCATGCCTGCTACCCTAGAAGTTGTCCACTGAGAGTTTACCAGTGACCACATTTTCATTCTTTTTCATTTGTTGAGGGTCACTAAGACCAATCATAATGTAGTCCCTCTTTGCATGATAAGATATTTAAATAGATCACCTGAAAGTTCCTGCATATTTTAGATGCTTACAAACAGTTTGAAGCTTCTGTTTGCCACACTGTGGCTAATAACTGTTCATTGCTGCCAATTCTAGGCTTCAAATGATAGCACAGGCTTGATTTCATTGATAGGATATCAACTGTGACAATAAGACAGAGAGGTGGTCTTCTTCTTTGCATCTTCTCCTGCCATGTTTACCACAACAAATATAATCTCTGCATGCCTGCTATCCTAGAAGTTGTCCACTGAGAGTTTACCAGTGACCACTTTTTCATTCTGAGGGGCCTGAGTCAAGTGATGTTCATTTCAATGCTTGGAGTCTGATCATAACTTGAGATGATTCACAGTCCAACCCACAGAAGCCAATGTGACAATAGAAGTGATGATGGCAGATCACTCCATGTGAATGAACCAGGTGATTCACACGTTGACAGGCAGTTATCAGTCTAGATTGAGAGTAGGTACACAGCCAAATGATGCTCTCACTGATGTATTAAAAGGTATTGCTCTAAGAGATTTCAACACATGTTTCACTAAAGATATGTGCAAGAATTTTAATAAATATGTGTAAAGAGAAACACTTTAGTTAGAACCTCAACTACAATGAATGTGATTATAGTTTCACACTCCACATTCGTGGTGTCCAAATTCACTGAAAGTTGCCCCAGCTTGTTAGCACTTACTTGAAAACTGCAGTAAATGTGCTACAATTAGGGTGACTTTCCGGTAGAGCACATTGCAGGACTCACACAAAGTAAGTAATATCAAATATACAGATGAGACTGTGTATAAGGCGCTGCGTTCAGGTAGCAGTCTCCCCTGGAGGCTTGGGATCAAAACCCACTTCCGCCATTTGGTTCCTTTGCTGCACCTCTGTTGAGGCGATATTGGTCTGTTTCTGAGAGCTTGTTAAAAGAAATGCATAGCTTTTTGGCAAATTTGCATAACTTTGAGACAGCTAGTCAGGATGGCCGAGCGGTCTAAGGCGCTGCGTTAAGGTCGCAGTCTCCTCTGGAGGCGTGGGTTCAAATCCCACTTCTGACATGCACTTTGTTGAGGGTCACTAAGACCAATCATAATGTAGTCCCTCTTTGCATGATAAGATATTTAAGTAGATCACCTGAAAGTTCCCTGCATATTTTAGATGCTTACAAACAGTTTGAAGCTTCTGTTTGCCACACTGTGGTTAATAACTGTTCATTGCTGCCAATTCTAGGCTTCAAATGATAGCACAGGCTTGATTTCATGGCACTGTGCATAGACGGTTGCCAACGGAACCAACTCCGCTGCTTTGTTGTGGTGTTGCCGAAATACCGGAGCAGGGTCCCTAAGTGAAGCCTATACATTTCTGAAACAAAGTACATGGAAATACGTTCAGACTTTTTATGTAGTTGTGGCCGAAGTGGTTAAGGTGATGGACTTGAAATCTAATTGAATTTATTCTGAGTAACCTGAATTTTCATATTTCATATTATTGCTGTTGCTGAAAGGTATCAAAGCTTTCAGAAAATCACATTAAAACTGAAATATATGTGAAACAATCGGGGTAACACCCAGAGATACATTGCAGCAGTCACAGAAGACAGTAAAGTCAAATACACAGATGAGACCGCCCCAACGAGAAGCACTCATGTATGTATTGTAAATCAAGTTGCTCCTATTTGAAGTAATCGAATTGTGGTTTCTTTTGAAAGTATTGGATGTTGTCCAAACTGTTTAACGTTTAATACATTGTAAACAAATATATGGTATCTTTAGTTGCTTGAATCACCCAAAAATCACCCCAACAAATAGTACTTACCATTCAGGAAGGTCAGAGCCATTGACAGGATATCAACTGTGACAATAAGACAGAGAGGTGGTCTTCTTCTTTGCATCTTCTCCTGCCATGTTTACCACAACAAATATAATCTCTGCATGCCTGCTATCCTAGAAGTTGTCCACTGAGAGTTTACCAGTGACCACATTTTCATTCTTTTTCATTTGTTGAGGGTCACTAAGACCAATCATAATGTAGTCCCTCTTTGCATGATAAGATTTTTAAATAGATCACCTGAAAGTTCCCTGCATATTTTAGATGCTTACAAACAGTTTGAAGCTTCTGTTTGCCACACTGTGGCTAATAACTGTTCATTGCTGCCAATTCTAGGCTTCAAATGATAGCACAGGCTTGATTTCATTGATAGGATATCAACTGTGACAATAAGACAGAGAGGTGGTCTTCTTCTTTGCATCTTCTCCTGCCATGTTTACCACAACAAATATAATCTCTGCATGCCTGCTATCCTAGAAGTTGTCCGCTGAGAGTTTACCAGTGACCACTTTTTCATTCTGAGGGGCCTGAGTCAAGTGATGTTCATTTCAATGCTTGGAGTCTGATCATAACTTGAGATGATTCACAGTCCAACCCACAGAAG